CTAACTCCCCCGGTTCGCTTGTTGCTCATGGGACCCCTCCTTCTCTGGACGGTGCTACTTGCAATCCGCTCTGGAGAAGGCCTCCGTCTAGGATATGGCCTGTCTGAAGTGATCGTCCTGGACTCCTGGCCGTAAGGAATTTTATTGGAGGCACTTTCATCGATTTCCTCATACTTGGAGTCGAACTCACCATCATGCCTCTTAGGTTCTGATAGTTTGTCTTGCTTTGATCCATCACTTATTATACTTATCTGGTATGCTAACAAATCCACTCCCATATAGTTAGTGGCAAGGCATCTATAAAATCCGCGGTCTCTTTGTGTTAGACCTTGTACTTTCAAAGTTCCATTTTGGTGCAGTTTTCTGTTGCCATGTGACTTTTCTAGCACTGTGTGATCTGGTAAGATCCACTGAACAGAAGCTTCTGGGTTTCCATGGGAACTACAATCAAGAACCAAATTTTCATCTAGCTTTTGTGAAAGTCGGCCTCCATTCACTTCCCCTTCCTCCACATCCGGAGACAGCACGGTTATCCGAAAGGTGAGGACATCTGCCTCCAGATAGTTGGTGGCTATGCAGTGGTACAATCCTGTATCTGAGCTGTCAGCTACCCTCACTGTGAGCCGTCCTGTGTCTGTGATTACAATCCTGTGATCTTCACTGTTGTATGGTGCTCGGACTTTGCTGCCATCTGGTAATATCCACTCAGTGGATGGTTTGGGATTACCGTGAATCTGGCAATTCAAGTCAGTTACCCCTCCAATTAAAACAGTATGTTCAGTCTTGGTTAGGTTGTCCTTTTTGATCATTACCCAGCCATACCTGTCTTTCCTTTGGACCTTGCTCTCCTCCCGCAGATGAACAGTTGACAGGTACTTTATGTGTAATGTAGTGAAAGTAGTAGTGGTACGGTCCAATTGCAGTGTGATCTCGTCTTGGAGAAGCCACCCTGGATTGGCCTTGATTTCAGCCTCGATGTTTGTGAAGACCTCATCGTCGCCCTCTTCTGGCCTCTTCTGCGTGTACTTAAACGTCATTTCTGGTGTTTTCGTGAGCATGAGTCCCCTCTCCAGCCGCATGGGGGAGTCACTGTATGTGGCTAAGATACGCCAGAGCTGCTGGATCTGCTCATAGTCGATGTTGCAAACCAGCGATGTGGCAACGGTGGCGCTTAGAATCGTGACTTCTTCCTCATTTATCACAGTCATGTTCTCCATTACAGATGGCCTCCGAACTGTGCAAGCCACACTTGCGTCATTTTGGAAATGGTCTGTAACCTTCATCTCCAGTGAGCCAAGGGGTGCAATGAAGTCACCGGGGGAGATGGCTGTGTAGTCCCCCTCATCCAGTGTAATGTTCTTCTGCTTCAAGTGGGGCAAAATCCACGGTTTGCTGCAGGACAGGGATGTATGAGGAAGCGGTGCAATACTTCTGCCCTTGGAGGCCACGGGAAATTCACACACTGGGCAGAGCAGGCCCCTGGCATATCTCCTCTCACGCTTACATTTTAGAACCCCTGGAAAAGTGCAAATGTTTAGTTTACTGAAGTAAACATTGCCCGTGACAAAAAGCTAAAGAAAACATTTAGTTTTAGCTTTGCTTGCCACTTAATTTTCAAACTCTTGCTTTCCGAAATTTACTCAGGATTGACATTTCTTTACACTGCTTTAAATCAGCTCCACATGATGTTCTATTGTCCAAGTAACTGTAAGCATCTCTATTGCTTACCTGTGTTTTTCGTTATCCATTCCACCAATCCTGCTATGCGGCAGTCACATGACCATGGGTTTCCATGGAGATAGACACTCTCCAGCTGAGTGCAGTGGGAGAAGATATTAGAGGGCAGTCTACTCAGTGCGTTGTCGGACAAATGAATGCTCGTCACAGAAGAAGTCTTGAAAATCTGGCTATAGCGTGTGGTGACAAAGGTGTCGGGATGTAGCTGCTGAAGAAGGTTGCCCTCCAGGTGGATCAGCTGCAGAGCGTTCAGTCCATGGAAGGCCTCAGGGTGGATGAACTCAATGCGGTTGTGGTCTATGTGTAACTTTGTTAGGTTTCTCAAACCGAAGAAGGTGTCCTTGTTGATCTCCTTTACCTTGTTGTAGCTCATCTTAAGGGACTGTGGGAAATAAAAAGTTATGTTATTATGGTGGATTATGAATTAGTTACATCATGCATCCATTATTGAAGTACCGTAGGCACACCAGAGCAAAGGATTCACGGTGAAGTCCACCATGTACCTGCAAGCACTGGAGATCACTAAAAGTCTTGTCCTCCATCTGATGTATTATATTGCTATGCAGCATCAAAACTTCCAGTCGACTCAGGCCGGAAAAGTCATTTTGTTTAAGCAACGTTAAACTGTTGTACCTGAAACACAGAATTACTTCTTACATGCTTAAATGTCCATGTCCCCCAGAGTACAATAAATCTGCAAGTTCCTACTGACTGATGGAGAACGGACCAAGAATTAAATGTAATAACCATGTTATGTAGCAGCATAATGCTAATTAGTTTAGATGTCTTGTCAACATTCACGAGTCTGGCATTGTGGAAACAGGAGTGAAACATCACAAAGACTGCAAATATAATATAAAGCAAGTAGCCTGAGAGTAAATAAGCTACTGATGTTGAAATCTTCCTGCGTCTTGGCATTCGACATATGCTCATGGCTATGGTGTGTGAGAGAGAAGCGCAGAGAGGGAGAGAGACTGACCCCAGATTCATTTTTTCCACGCCCAGCTGGATGTCGCCGGGAACTGCAGTCAGGTATCTGAAGGTGCAGTGGACTTCAGTAGGAATGTAACATGCACACGATTTGGGGCATGCTGTGCTTTCTGGAATGATCTCTGCCACGAAGCACAAAAATGCCAGCAACCTCCACCTCAGGTGTGTAGCGTGACAATTTAAGCTGCTCATTCTGCTCATGTTGACCCAGTCACGTTCACTGCACCTGTGGAAAGAAAAAATATGACAATAATTGAGATATAAATTTCAAAGAAAACTATATTTGTGCAGGCTTTGAAGGCTATCAAAAACATGACAAGAACTGCTGAACCCACAAGACGCTATTTTATATTTAATGAATACATTCAATAAGTGTTTTAGGTGCTGAAACAATGTAGAATGATAAATTGTTCACTGACAATGGTGATGTGGATTATTGTTTTGTATATATGTTTTACTTGCCAAAACCAGTCATTCATTCAGATAAGTAAGAATTTCAAGAAATTCCCTCTGGGATCAATAAAGTTAATCTTAGTCTTAATCTTAATAATCATCAGGCATTTGTGAATGACTGAAACATGCATCCACAACGGAAATCTTATGTTATTGTAAAGCATTCCCTTATTGTTAAATCACAGTGCCCTAAGGATTCTCACTGTTATTCATCTCTCCCAGCAGGCATCCAACATTGTCACAACAATGAATAACAGTTGAAATCCTGTCTTTATGTTGCCAACATTGTTTCAATGTAATTATGATGCTAAGATTTCAATAACTGCTGCGAGCAAGCAGGGACAGCATTACCACTATGTTGATCTCGTGTCGAAATATAACAATATAATATATTATTTTTAAAAGTTGAAAAAAACCATTCTGGTAGCACTATGCAAACATTAATTATGCCTTCACGCATGCACATTTCCTGCATTCTCCCACGGTCTCCCGCTCAAACTCTTTTTACTTGGAACCTGTCGAAGAGATGGATCCTAGGTGCAGGCAATCAAAAAGGTAAGCGTAGGCAATCATAAAGTTGACCGATGTCTAACATAAAAGTTAATGTTCATTTATTTATTTATTTGTGCGGCCGATCGTTCGCGTTCTCTTAGTCGAAATTCGTGAGTTTGGTGCCATCGTGTCATGTTAGCAGCTATTGATGCCATTTCACAAAATGTTTGTATCAGTTGGGCTGACGTAGTTTTAGAAAACATTTTTTAAGCGATATGGATATAATGTATGTTTTGGCATTGCCACAACCGCTAGTGTGGCCTCTCGGTGAAGGAATTTCATTTTTTACGACAGACGACATCTGTCAGAAACCAGCCACTACATTTGCTTAGATTTTATCTTTAACGGCTAATTCGGTACACACCTGATAGTATTTATTGCCAGTCTGGTAAAGTTGCTAACTTTGCTATTTTTGTTCACAGGTTGTGAAACACCGCACTTCATTTACACATTCCATTATTTAAATCTACAAAGACACAGTTTTGGACTATTTTGTGTAAGACTAAGCATTCAAAACCTTTTATTGTTGCATTGTATTGTGGTAATTCAAAAACAGGCTGTGGCAAAGCGAACGGACGACCAGTTTAATAGCTTTCAGTGCCCAGACCATCAAACAAGATCAGCAGCAGAAGCAGCTCATGGAATAGAGTCCATTTCACAGTTTAGCTTGGATTACATGCCTCTTGTTTGTTTGTGTGCTGTCAGAAGAACACTTTTGGACTCAAGGACTCCCCAGATGTAAGCTTTCAATTTGACAATGTGGACAAATACCTGAAAACCTTGCTGCTTTAAGTAGATCTCTACTTCACGTGTTTGCTCATCAGCCAAGGCCATTGACTGATTTTGAAAGGCGGAAAGCAACTGATTTCCACAGTTTCCTCTTGTATACAGGACCAGCTGTGTTGAAGGACATAGTGTCTGAGTCTTCCATCACTGCAATTAACCCCGACTGGGGTCACTAGAGCCTATTCCAGGAACAAGGGGCACAGGCAGGAACCAAACCCAGGCAGTCGGCAACACACCACAGGGCACATTTAGACTCACCAATCAACCTGCTCTGCACGCTTTCGGACCGTGGGAGGAAACTGGAGCCCCCCAGCTGAAACCCACATGAACAGCATGCAAACTCCACACAGGAAGGACCCGGGACCAAACCCAGGACCATCTTGCTGGAAGGCAGCAGTGCAAACCACTGCGCCACTGTGCCACTGCGCCACTGTGCCACTGCATCACTGTGCCACTGCATCACTGTGCCACCCATGTCTGAGCCTTTGTATTTTCATTTCCTGGAACTGGCTGTGTCAGTGTCACTTTTGTTGGAAACAAAGAAAGACAGGAGATGCCTTTTCATTCAGTATGCAAAAGACCTACAGTACTGAAACATTTTGTTGGCAAGTGTGAAGACTTCTGTGGTGGAACCTTTACTGTTTTCAACATTCACAACCTTGTTCATTTACCTGAGGATGTATCTTTATTCAAGTGCTCTTTAAACGATGTTTCAGCATTTCCTGTAGTTCAGGTTGCCAAAAGACTGACTGAACTGGAGCAAGTTGGCAGAGCAACTGCTAACAAAATTGGCAACTCTTAATACTACATTTCAGACAAAATTAAGGATGGCTGTTTTCTGTTGGATGACACATCTTGTGCATTTGTGCACAGGAAGCAGGGAAATGGTATGTGATGAGATTAGGGAAGAGTACACCCATGGTTTGTTTGTTTGAAGTCCCTTGTAGCTCAAAACTCCTCAAAATTGTGTTTATAAGTAAACGAAATCTTCAATGTTTTTCGAAAAGAAGATGATGGATATGCCGTGTTTCCAATGCTACTTGGCTCTGAGGAAGTCTGATTCATGTATCACAAGCAAGTACATGAACGATTATGAACGACTATCCAATTCCGCCTGCAAGGCACAAGGCTGGTAGGAAAAAAAAATGACTCAAGGTTTGTATTACAGCTGAACATTCAGAGTATAAGTGAAAGAAAAGGAAGAAATAAAATGCAATCAACCAGGTAGCTGAAATAGCTTTGACTAAAAATACTGATTATTTATTCATTATATTTTGCAGAGGTGGATTCTTTAATCTGTTCAACTCAAAGATCAAGCACATCTCAAGCAAAGCAGGGGAACAGTGAGTTAATGTATATAAATATTTGTCGGCTTGTAGTTGATTGCATCCAGTGATGTAATATTTAATGCATTGTATTTAACATTAAAGGTTTGTATGTAAGAGATAATACTTCACCTGATTCCTTTCCATGGAGGAATTACAAACCAGGGAACATTTCAAGTGTTTACACAATCATGTTGGAATCTATTTTTTACTGCTATGCATTTACAGTGTGTTTGACAGTATTGTAGAATATATATTGAAATTTTTGCATTTATAAATGTAATATTTATAAATATTCAGTATTTGAATGTGTCAATCTGAAAAGAAAAATGCTGTCATTCGCAGGAGAGTAACACTTAATTGTCAGTCACAGGAGTCACAGAATCAGTCAACCAGTCAGGTGTCTTTAAGTGGTTTTCAAATGCCATCAGCCAGTAAGTTGTGAAAGCATTAAGCCATTTGTTCAGAAAAAAAATCAGTAAGGGACTGATATTAACTGAAATATATGCTGTGTGCTTACAGAATAGTGAAGTCACTTTTTTATTTTAAAATTAGTGTCTTTCCATCAAAGAAGATTAGAGTGCCACAACTAGGGCTGGGCGATATGACCTAAAATAATATGGCAATACTTCTAAGCTATATCACAGTACACAATATATATATTTCTTTCTGTAAGAGAACTACATTTCCCAGAATCCCCACGTATGAATTGGTTTTTGCGCGTGATGGTTTTCCACATGACAGTCGAGAGTGCTTGCAAAAACGCTCCAGTTTTGTCATATCTTTCCCTTTATTACAGACAAAACTCGTGTTTTATCTGATAAATAACAACAACCAGCGTTCTACTCACAATATAGCTGTCTACTTGATATTTTCAGCGTTAATGCGATAGACACGCGTCTGGAATTATTTTATGTTATATTTGAGAGGCCTCTAGGTATCCAAAGCATCAGAGAAAGAAGTGGAAGATGCCATGTGAGATCACCTTCGTTACGCTCCAGACAGAGTAGGAGGTGGTGGCAGACACAAAATGCACTAAGTTAGGAAAAACACAAGTGTCTTTGTTACAACATATGTTGAATTAAATCTTCATTTTTGTTTATGTTGGCCGTTTAGAAGGACATTTAATTTCTTTTGGCAGTGTTAGTGGTACTGCACTGTTTACATCATTTACTGTTTAACTGTTGCACTGTTTACATTGTTGCACTGTTTACATTGCTTATATGAACTAATTATTATTTTTTGTATAAACAAAGTTGAGTCAGAATTAAATGCTTATTAAAAGAGCATTAATTAATTGTTACTAATGACTGATTTTCCCCTCCCTCACTTGATATGTTTATAGGGTTAGGACATTGTCAAATTTGTATGCTCATGCAGCAATGCTCTGATGTTAAATCATTTAAATACACAGAAAACAGAGTTTGAGCAAAATGAAAAACATTGTTGGAGCAACATAGAAAAATGACATTGACATTGGACAAATATAGAAAAATTATTTCATCTTTCAAAACCATCACTGATAACGTTTATTCAGTGTGATTATTCAGTGTTGAGAGACAACGTTGTAACAAGACGCCTGCTGGGCTGTTTGTACCAGAATCAGTCAATATAATTAAACTCCCATAAAAGATCTCATACCTTATCGGCTTTTAACCACTCAAATCTCTCAGCGTCTCTATGGAAGAAATGTTTGTATAGAGTTGGATAAACAAAGTGCACAGGAACAGACCATGGATGCCTATACAAGAAAACAGTGTATACATTAATAAATGATACAATGTGTTGAGATTAACGGAAGACAAAAACAACGGTAAAGCAAACCTCTTAATTGCAGTAATTTATCTCGTACTCTTCCCATGCACACAGCTGAAATGCATTCATATATTACAGCAGGAACTTAAACTTATATTGATCGCTTCTCGGAAAAATATTATTTTCGCTCGAGGTGATGCATATTGTAACACATGAGTAAGATTACATTTTCAGAGGCAGAAAGATAAAACTGCGATACTATTTAAAAATCATTAGCCGTGTTAATGATAAAATGAATGATAACCTTTAACAACCCGTTATAATGATCCAAATTTGAATAATTAAGGTAATACACGAGAATTTCCAAAAACACAGAAGCGTCAACTTTCTATAATGCAGTAATTCATAATAATGCTCTTCAGACTTACTCATCCTGCATGTAGACTGGCGCATCAGGTCCACAGTTTGCAAAAGAACATAAATAATGATTGCATACTCCACTTAATATGTAAATCGTATTTTTAAAAAGCCGTATTCAGGCAGTATCATGTGATAGCTCGGGTAACGAAGTGTGATCCGAATCGCTCCCCTGTATCACAAGTGCAGACAAGTGTGAACTCCGCGGGGTGAGTGGCGTGGGGCGCTGCGGGCTGGAAGCTCCAACAAACCCCCATCCACCCCCCGACGCTTCTTCTTTTTCCATCGAGTCCCACGAACGTTAATGGTATCAAAGCCTCCTCGGCTGTTCGCTAGAAGTTTAACCATATTTGCCTACTTTAATAACTATAAAGGAACGCGCTAAATCCTTAACTTTTGTCGAATCCATCACACTTTGTTTTCCCGAGCAATAGTTTTCTGAATAATACGAATTCAATTCGTTGTTAGCCAGTAATATAATTTCTGTATTTGTAAATGCGCTTTTGTTGTAGTAATCAATTGTACTGTTTTATGTATTTTTCATAGTGATGCAGCTTTAAATTAGCGGCTTTTAATTAGGCTACCAATGGTCCGTCTATATATAATGAATAAGAAAGCGTCTACTGAGGTTTGCGGCGGTTTTTGGCGCAGTATAATTCTGTCTAAGGTGTTATAGCTTTCCACTTCAGGAAGTTGCTTTCATCTTTACTAGACATGTATGTGATTTGTGATAAAGCAGCGCTGACAGCAGACACACATGGCATTTGTTAGTAAAGTCTAATTAACTATGGTGCTTTACAGTGAGCTCTGCTCTCTGTATTCCACCCGAAGATCGGCAATTGACCGACTTTTGGGCTCATCTCTGTTGTTTAGGGCTTTAAAACGATGGAAATGGGCTTCACTCTGGGTTAATGAATCATGTAAGCAGGGAGATCGTTTTGTAAGACTGCAAGATATCGTCCTTTTTGGTTTTCTGCGAACCTGGGAGCTTTGAGGTGCTCAGTTACTGTGTAGCAGCTGCATCTAGGACCTGGGGGTTAACCTTGGCCCCGCTTTTACTGTGCGCGCCAGTAATTCATTCAGGCTGTGTAAGTCAAAAATATTTAGGCACACGCAATTTAACACGACTTCACAAACCATTGGCAACTGTTTATTTAGCTCGAAAAGATATTAGGCGTATTTGTGGGCTCACAAAATCATATCGACTTCGTTTATAAAAAATATTTTGGATAGCGACAGAGAATTTGTAAATAGGAAGTGCAGTATGGTCCAGTCTGGGGAATTGAAATAATGGAACAATTCAGTTTACGTGAAGCCAGATATGTGTTAGGGAATAGTTCACTTGGAAGTCAAAAAACACCTGAATGAAATGCATTTTGTCCCTCAGTGCTTCCTCATATTCAACTTAGACCAATGACTTGAGGAAGAAAGATAAATTATGATTTTCTTAAAAACACAGTGACCAGTATAATCTAGTAAGTACAAGAATAACTCAATACCTTAATTCAGGTTACAGGTGTGTGCCACAAAACTTAGGTGTGAGGCCTTAATTGGCTCATTTTCCACAGAGAATTGTAGCATCTCCTCCAATCTCTTTTAAGCTAATGATTTATTACTCAAAAAAGGCAGGAAAACAGATTTTTTTTCAGAACCAATTCATTTCTTCACAGCATTTTATTTCTGCGGAGAATTTCACTTGTGGCTGCAACTCTATCCATATCGTGGAAATACTTCACACATTCCTTCCACCCCAGAAGTCATAGACTGCTGCTGTTGGTTGCTGCTCACTGTTGTTGTGAAATGCAGTAAGGAGGAGCTTCTCTCTGTTCAGATGTATGTACCATGTGAAACAGCCATACTGTAGTGTCGCAATCCGCCTTACCACCACCCTGCAGAGTCCAGGGATCCGAACGCTGAAAGTCGCAGCTCTGTGGCAGTGTTTGAGGAATCTGTTAGCACACACAGGGTAGCAGGGGGGCTCCGAATCAGGGAAAGCATGGAAATATGCGAGGAAACGTCCGACGGTCAGAATGATCGCCTACTGTCTCTTTCCGGTTCACAGGACGTACTGTGGTTTTGTTCTGACAGCGTCTCACAAATGATGTTCAATTATTCATGTTTTTCTTGATTTGTGACACAGCAAAAGGTACTAAACTAGGCCGGTTATTATTGCTGTTAAACATACAGGTATAGGGGTCATCAGGTCACAAGTCCATGTCCTTAATCACCAGGCTTCCTTTCTTCCAGAATCTCTGGCCTTCATCAAATTCCATGTGATGCCAGATGACCTCATCTTAGTGTTCCTACCTTGCAGCAGTTGCACCAGTGAGCTCTGTATTTAAATAGGACCCCCATAATTATGTAAAAAATGATCCCAGACAGCCACTTTCTGCAGTGCTCCTGGAATCGGATAATTGGTATCTGATAGAAAGGGCCTGGTCAGTATTTTGGTCCTGAGGTAACTAGTACAGGAAAATGAGCTTCTGCAATCTTACTCCTGGGTCCAAGGTCAGTCCTCTGTTTGGAGAAGTATATTTGTAACATAACACAGAACCTACACATCATTATTGAAACAAGAGTATCTTTACTATATACTCAACCAATGAATATGAACCCATTAACCAAATAAACTACACTTTGAAAACTTGTGAAACGATAAAGAACATGTTTCTTGGTTCTCTGCGCATGTGGAAGGGGCCTGAGATACTGAGCACATTATGCTAACGGCATATCAATTAAGGTCTGAATAATACATATTTTAACGAATGAATGACTGAAAGCGATTTTCAATCATTAAGATATTACAATAGCAATTTAATTGCCATTTTACGTCAATAAGTGAGATTTATAATGTTATCGTTTCAGGCTAATATTAGTACGTTAGACCCCTCGAGAAATTGAGTGATTACCATTTAATTCCTTCTTCACACAGCTGATGAAGCTGAAG